GTTGTGCCTCCATTTACCTTCTAACAGTGTCTCAGTCTCGAAAACACAAAAAAAAAAAGATCCATTGAGGTGGTAGTGCTGCTTTGGCTCAATAGTGTGAAGATCTAGAAGATCCTGTATCTTTCAATAGGCCTGCCCCATACCACACATGTAGAAATTTCCCTTTCATGTCTGCCTGGCAATTTCAGCGATCAAATCATCGCTTACATCTGGCTACTTATCTCCTTAACTGCAATAATTTTTTATTATATGTGGAGCGAAGACCAACAACATTGCTTTTAACATCAAAGATGAACTGAAAGCAAGGATTATGGCAGCATTCACCATCTAAAACGGGGAGACCGTCCAGAAGAGTTGCAGGAGATTCTGAAGTCACCTGGAGACCAATGACGATTCTATTGGAATGAATTTACTCTTTAGTATTTCAAGATATTTAAGTGTCATTTTGGCAAATATATCTGTCAAATGGTATATCAGTATTATTTTCATTGTCGCATAACGTAGACGACAATTTATCGATCGCACCCTGTATATCCATATTTTTTGTGCCTAGGATACCGTCAAATTGGCTGGGTGCTTTATTTAAAATCATAGTTAATGTTCTAATTTGAGGATCTATACAACTATCTTCCGTGCTTTATTTCATCTTTCCATGGGCCTGTCCTTAGAAGACATCGAGAAAGACTTTTCGATTTGCTTCCACAGAGCAACGATATATTTTTCAGACAAAAGTAGAAACTCAATCCAATGATCTGTAATTCCGAGCTTTAAATTTGTAACCAACCTAAAAAAGCTTAAAGACTAAAAAGAATAAAAAAACAATAATATTTGTGTGGGTATGTATCACTTGAATTCATGTTTTTTTTTTTCTTAGTATATTTTAATTTTTTTCGGTGTATTTATTTATATTATATATAAATCATCAAAAGGATTGACAGAGTTCTATTAATTTAAATTACAAATTACATTATGCAATTTTATTTCATAATAGATTTATTATAATTCCCGTTTTAAATGACTAATGAGCATTAATACACTTAATCTTGTTCTTTCTGTCGCATAGCTATTCTGATGTTAAGATATTGATGACCTTCATGTTACAAGAATGTTAGCTACTACCACTGGAAAAAATTGCTTATAAAAGAAAACAATTGTATGTAAACTGGTGAGTCGCCATTGAATGATTAATGCTTATATATTGAATGTCGCACTTTTATTGAAAAGTAAATATATTTTTTTTTTGATAAAGAAAAGATTGTTTTGATCAGAAAACATTATTGCGAAGTAGATTTTTAAAGATTGATTTTTTTATTTAACGCCCTGCGTATGACGATAAACTGACATCCGCGTCCTGCCTTATTGATAAAAATCCATGTAAACCAACATCAGGCACCTGGGTAAGACGATAAACCACATCCGTGTCCTGGGTAAAATAAATAAACTACATCCGCGTCCTGGGTAAGATGTTAAACCACATCCGCGTCTGCGTATGACAATAAACTACATCCACATACTGGGTAAGACGATAAACGACGTCCAACAGCAAGGCCTCTGATCATCAGGATTTCAGGAGCGTGGAATCACCTCTTAATTGTTCTTGATGAGGTCCACCCTGACCCGTGTGGTAACACTTGTTAGGGTTCCAGCTATGGGCAAGTAGTTCAACCCCGAAACTGAGGTAAAAAGCATTATAAAAGCGTAAAAATGGGTTTTAATACCAAAGATACTTTGTAAAAGAATTGTTACCAGAAATAAAATTTTTGAAGAAAACAAAACTATTACAAGGAATATATATTTGAAAAAAAATTTCTTAATAATACATGTTTTAAAATAACATTACCAGCTATACATTCATGAACAAAAAATATTACCAAAAATAGATTTTGACAAAACATTACCAGGAAAAAAAAGAGGTGGAGGCATTTTTTAGTTCCAATGTGGTTGATATACATTAAAACACAGTAAACCAAACTAAACCTTTTATTTAATCGTTTTAATATCTAATTTAGCTATTCTTCAGGACAAATGTGAATTGTTTAACATATGATTAAGATGATATTTACCAAAATATTTTCAGGATATGTTTCATGTCTCGATTGAAATTATCCATGAAATTTGTCAGTCTGTCTTTATTAGCGGCTCTCATATTGTATTTATTTCTATGCCAGGCATACTAAGACAAAAAAATATACAGCAGATGAAGGCTGAAGGACACAACAACTGAAATGTTATGACAACAACAAAGATGTCGACAATAGTATGAATGTAAATAGTGTAAACAAATTTTAATGCTTTTGGTAATCTGGATTAAGCACATGAAGATAACCTAAATATAAGTTAGATTTCTATAAGATCATCTTCAACAATATTTTAATCCCTTGTTTTAACTTTGCCATGATTCATGACAAATATCCTTTGCACTCTCCTACAAAAAGACATTGGGGGGGAGAGAGAGAGAAAAAAAAAAAAAAAAATTGCGAAATCTTTCCCAATCCACTAAACTCCCATTTAACAAATAAACATCTTCTATAAGAACAGGCTTCTCTCTTTTCCTCCAGGCTGGTTAAAGAAACATTTAACATATTTGCTTCCTAAGTCAGGGTTAAATGTCAAATGGGAGATTTTAAAATGCACAAAATCCTCCATAGCAGTTTAACTTGAATATTTGCTTACATCTGATTTGTGTGTGCCTTTTAACTTTGTCTATTCAATGAAAACAGAATTTTTATCAGAAAAGCCAATTGAGCAGGTTAACAATTTTCACTATGATTTATTTCAGAGCTTGAGACCCTGTAGACCTTGAATCCCAGATTAACAAAAATCCTTGTAGGGCATGAAAGTGAAAGACACTCATGTTCTGGTCTAGTTCCTGAAGTTGTGTCGCTTGACCATTTATCAAGACAGATTTTGAACATAGGTATAGTGTAGTGGTTAGTGGCTCAGAAAGAAATTGGTGAGCAGAGTTGAAATTCTGACAAAGTTCATTATGCTTGCTTTTGAAAAACTACTCTTGGGAAAGGTATGAATCCATCTCTTCTCCCCCAGATATGGGTTAAATAACAGGGCATGCATGGCTTTCTAGCCTTGGCTAGCATTAAGTCTAGTAGAAGGACAATTTTGAATTCAAAACCAGTTGCAGTGCTAATGAGCAGATATAAACTTCAGCTTTGGTTGGTAATCTATTTAAAGATGGTGACTTTATAAAAATACCAGCAGCCTGGACCACTTGTGTAGATGAATTGGCACATAAAAACTGACACTGATTGAAGCCATGATAGTTGCACTATCCACCATAGAAAGAGATAACATCTTAAAATTAAAAAAAAAAAAAAAAAAAAAAAAAAAAAAAGTAAATAAATGAATTTGATATTACACATTACCTCATTTTATATATATATATTTTTTTCAGTGTTTCTTTGATGCCACCAGATAAACATCCATGTCTATATCTCTATGCCTACTAACCTAGAACATTGGCCCTTGGAGATGGTGGTTGTCTGAACTGGTTAGTATGTGGTGCATCCTGTTTAGATAATGTTAGTAAGATACAAATAAATGTTAAGACTTAATTCTGACAACAAAGTAAAATCATGCGTAACTATTTCATTCTTTCTAAAGTATAGTAAGGGTCCCTAAACATAAGTGACTTAGTTCGTGTTATATAGATTTTACTTAAACACTATCAACACCTTTTCCCAAATCACCCTCCTTTTACTCAATGGCCCATACCCAGATTTTTTTATCACCCATTTTGAGAATCCCAGTTTTAGATACTTGATGCTTAGCCAAGATACAAAGGCAAAATCTGTCTAAATTTAAAAGGCAGGCAATGCAAAGAAATTCAATTTATATATAAAGTCAATTATTGAACTTCAAGCTTTATACAGAATGAAAAAAAAAAATTCTTAAAATCCATTTTTTTTGATGATGGAAAACAATAAAACTTAAAATACAACATATATTGAGAATACAAAAACAGAAAAATTCCAAGAAAAATATTTATTTCTTAAAAATCGTTAAGCAAATTTTATTTTAGAAAATAGGATAAAAAAAAAAAAAAATATTAAAAAATTCATGGGAAAGAAAAATAAATTTAGATACAGAATTGGTGAAATTATTTGTTATACAAAAACCTGCTCACATTTGAAAATTTGAGTTAATGAAATTGTCATTAAAAAAAAAAAAAAAAAAAAAAAAAAAAAAAAATTAAATAGAAATAAAGCTAAAAATAAAAAAACAAATATTGAAGAGACTGATTTAAAAAGATAAAAAATAATTTTTTTTTAAAAGAAATCAGTAAAAAAATGAGGAGGGAATGTACTTAAAAATGAAAAAAAAGAACAAAAAAAAAAAAAAAACAAGAAATAATTAAAGGAAAATGTCAACAATATTGGAATAGAAATTTAATGTTACTTCTTTTGTTTTTTTTTTTTCTTTTCCAATTTAGGAGATATCTTAAAAAAAAAAAAGAAAAAAAAGAAAAAAAAGACAGAAAGAAAGACAGAAAGAAAGACAGCAAGAAACAAACCAGCACAAATGTCCTGTCCTTTCAGAGTGAAGAAAAATTGCCAAAAAGTTAAATCTCCATTACACCAGGGGACAAAGACCAACAGTCCACAAGTGTCGAGCATTTCCATTAAACAATTACCACTACAGTGAGGGTAGGAGGGGGGAACCTTCTAGGAGCCAACCAACTCCCAACTTAACAGAATAAAGGTTTTAGACTTTGCCCTGAAGTGAAAATCATGGTAGTACACAAAGTCCAATTTCCTAACGCATTCATTTTTTTTTTTTTCACTCATAACATTATATATAGACCCCACCCTACCCCATATACTCTTGCACTGACCAATATTTTTCCCTTTATATTTATCTAATGAAGGAGGAGAAGGGGGAGGAAGGGAAGTTTGGCTCCAATAAATCCCCCCCGCCACCCCCACCAATTTTTATTTTTGAATAAAAGCCAAACTGATATTTGCTCTCATTGATTCATGGTATCATCAATCAAGTGAGGCAAAAGGTGTAGGAAGGCTTTTGGAGATGAGAAATTCATGGGCAATGGTACCTGCCTTCAAATCAAGGAGGAAATCCTGGAATGAAAAGGAAAAAAAATAAAGTAAATAAATAAATTATGCCCAAGAGAAGTGGAAATGAGAAAAGGAGTCATGGCATTGTATCAAACAAAACTAATTTAACAATAATTAAAAATGAATAATTAAACCAACTTTTACCTTTAGATATATATATATATATATATATATATATATATATATATATATATATATATATATATATATATATATATTAAGACTGCTATATTTTACAGTTTATCAATTTGGTGGTCTATTTAAATCGGAAACATTTGGGGTTATAAGAATTTTTTTTTTCTAAGTGTCTAAGTGAATATTACATTAACAATTTGTTTTTGAGAATAAGGATGATTTTTTTTTCCAGATAAAGTCCTACTATTTGACCCATATCTGAAGGGAGGAGATGGATTTACACCTCTCTCAAGGGCATTTACACCTAAATGAATGCAACCCAATTGGAGTTCAAACTCAGCTCTCAGATTTCTTGTTCCAAGCCGCTATACATTACACCATTGGCACACATTTATATGGATGCCATCAGAACAGAAAGAGACATGTAATATATCCATAACCAGTTATAAAATAAATAGAATTATATATCTAACATTCTTAACTTAGATTACAGACAAACACTCAGTTCATATATAATTTTCATTCACATGAATCAATTATGGGGCAAACCCTTTTCCAAATTTGATCTGTTCTAGCCAATTTAAAAAAGTCCTCAATACACAAACTGTAGAGGAATCCTAAGTAATGCTCTTTCTAAAATTATATAAAATACCTCAGCCACTACTGATATTTTACTTTTGGATCTTCAGTCTCGTTTGGTTATTTTTAAATCTCCCAAACTGGCAGGATATAAAATAACCAAACCAGCCTAAAGATCTAAAAGTGGAACTGCAGTATTAAGTGGAGTATTTATATAATTTAAAAAGAAAAAAAAAAGTTATATACACACACACACACACACAAATAATTTCTAAGAAATTAATGGATTTATTAATAGCCCAACATTATTTCTTATTACCATAAATATTATATTTAATGAATACATGTGTTTGAGTAGAGACCCATATCTTTAAATAGTGTAATGGTTACCAACTGGCCTCGACATTCAAGAGTCTTAATAAAGAAAAGGTGCCTTTTGGCAAGGGTTTGGATTTTTCCTTATATTGGAAAACCATATTCAAACCAAATATATCTTAAAATGAGATATCAGTGTCATTTTCATTTTTGTGTAATTTAGACAATTTATCCATTGTAGTATATATATATATATATATATATAAAAAAAAAAATAAATAAAATAAATAAATAAAGGTATATTTAGGCAGCAAGTATTCATCCAGACAAGTTTGAGGTCTGCTATAGTTTAATGTTTTTTTTACATTTTTGTTTAAGGTGCTTAGTAATGTGCTCAATGTTGTGGATAAACCGTCTGAAGTTTATATCTTGTTCAAGTACTTTTAACCATTGGAGTCATTTACAAAAACTAATGTGGTGTCTGTGTGGTAGGTAGATTTCCTTTGACTACATCCTTGTATTTTTTTTTTGAAAATTATAAGTTTGAAATAGTATGTTAACATCATTCGTAATGGTTATTGGGAACAAACCCGACAAAAGAATGCGATTTATTTTATTTATATTTTTTTTATTTTATTATTATCTTTTTCTTATATTAATATATGTTCACATTAAATATATCACATGCACTTTAAGATACCATGTCCTGCTGTGAATGATATTTTATGGAATGTAGGCTGTTTATTTAGTATAGTAATAGCTTTGAGACTTTTGGGTTTTTTCTTGCATTGAGTACTGTGGAGTAGGACAGGTTGATTTTGGAACCGTGGTATTGCACTTAATTTGAAAGTTGGGATTTCACATGATAAATAACGACAAAATATGTTTTCCAAATTGTTACCATTTTTTTGAGGAGATGAATTTAAAGATTACGCTTAGGTTCCAGTGATCAGTGAAAGCCTTATAGCACAACCTTATCAAACTTATAATTTACTGAAGCTTTACAAATTGTATAAGGACAAGATGCATGGTACAAGCATATTATTACTCAAATAAGACCTTTATTTACTTCAAAGGGAAATTATACCGAACAATTTAGCTATATTATGATGCAACATGTTATACAGTGCAGCAGTTTTAGCATGATATACAATAAACAAAGCAAATTTAAAACATTGTCTTATGTGCCCAACAGTATTAAGGTGTTACATACACTTTTATCTATTTTGTTTTTATTAATTATGACCTAATAAATTTTATTCATTAGAGAGCCTTTTTTGTAATATTTTACAAATTTTTTTTTTCTTTTTACAGTTTTCACTTCTCAAATACTGTAAAGAAATTGTATATTTTGCTAGTGGCAACTCACAATTAGAATTCTAGTTTGAATATATTTTCCGTTCAATGTATCTAATACAAAAGATTTAACTTTATTTGAATTCATTCATGAAATAGTAAAATTTTGAAGTCAGTTCGTTTGCAAAAACTGAAGAAATTAGGTATTTCTGTACATTTTTTTTCAGACAATCTTTAAAAGTAAATGCTCAAAAATTAGTGAAAACTATTAATCTAATTTTTTCGGTGTCAGTACTTATCACATCAAACTCCAGCTTTCACCACTGGGTGCAATGATGATTTTCAAAAAAAAAAAAAAAAAAAAAAAGTGATGAAATCAACCTTTCCTACTGTAGAGTATTTTCCTATTGTTTACTATTTGTCTTATGTGAGTAGTTCGTAACCTTTTTTGGGCCATGACCCAACCTAAGCATCACCAAAATCCTGATTTTTATTATTTGCTATACAAGCAAGGAAGGAAAAAGCATAATTCCTTGCTATTATTTGTTTCTTATCTACTAGAAAAGATGCATCATATTACTTTTTTTTTTAAAAACCAAAATTAAAAAGATAAACTTAAGCATATATTCACCATTTCAGGATTTCTTGGTTGCTGATTTGACTTCCGTACTGTACTGGTTGGAAGGGAACTCGTTAAAGATTCCTGGAATGCTGTTTCCAAAGTAGATCTTGCTGTTTTTAGCTAATGATTGATATTTAACCAATTCCAAGTATTCTTTGGTTAATTTAAGCTAAAGAAAAAAAAAAAAAATCTTCATAAATAACAATCAAAAATATACAAAGTGACTATGTTTACACTTTAATAAAATTATAAAGTTTATTCAGGACTACTATTAAAAAGTTTGGATGCATAAGTAGAGTGAAGGTTGTTGATGCAGAAAGTGAGTGAGCTTAGTCTTAAGCATGAACACCCTGTAGAAAGGTAAGAATTTATCTCTTTTCCCTGCTAGCTATTAGGTTAATTAGCAGGATGGATGGGGTTTTCTAGCCTTGGGTAGCTGGACAACTCTGAATTCAAAACTATAGAGAAGGCAACAGGAAACCAGTCCATTTCCTCAAGAAGTCATGATAATTCATTGATAATAAAGAAGAAATTTGTGGAGAGCCTTGATTGCCTATGTCCTGGAAGGATATAATATTAAATAAGAAAACCATATAGAAATATAAACTGAAAATAAATAAAACTTCCAATTTTTTTTTGCTTATTTCTTGAAAATCATATTTTGTTTGTTATTCATAGTCAATAAAAAGCATCTCAGTAGCAAACAGTGGGATTTTATTTTTAAATCACAAGAAAAAAAGCAGGATAGTAAATATATGACAAAAAGCATGAAACAGTATATATGAAAAAAAAGGAGAGAAGCAAATATAGGAAAAAAGCAAATGTATGGTCATTTTCTAAAGGGAAGAGGAGGGGAAAAAAAGAGAAGAGGAGGGGAAAAAAAGAGAAGAGGAGGGGAAAAAAAAAAGAGAGGGAAAAAAGGAGGGGGAAAAAGAGAAGAGGAGGGGAAAAGAGAAGAGGAGGGGAAAAAAGAGAAGAGGAGGGGAAAAAAGAGAAGAGGAGGGGAAAAAAGAGAAGAGGAGGGGAAAAAAGAGAAGAGGAGGGGAAAAAAGAGAAGAGGAGGGGAAAAAAGAGAAGAGGAGGGGAAAAAAGAGAAGAGGAGGGGAAAAAGAAGAGGAGGGGGAGAAAAGAGAAGAGAAGAGGGGGAAAAAGAGGAGGGGAAAAGAAAAAGAAAAAGAAGAGGGGAAAAAAGAGAAGAGAGGGGGGAGAAAAAAGAGAAGAGGAGGGAAAAAGAGGGGAAAAAAAGAGAAGAGGAGGGGAAAAGAGAAGAGGGGGAAAAAGAAAAGGAGGGGAAAAAGAGAAGAGGAGGGGAAAAAAAAGAGAAAGGAGGGGGAGAAAAGGGGGAAAAGAGAAGAGGAGGGGAAAAAGAGAAGAGGAGGGAAAAAGAGAAAGGAGGGGGAAAAAAGAGAAGAAAGGAGGAAAAAAGAGAAGAGGAGGGGAAAAATAATTACAGCACAAATAATATCATATCTTGTCTTATGAAAGAAAATAAAATGTACAAAAGAGATATATACACATTATCTAGACGTTAGGTACTTATCTATGCCAGGTAATGCATTATAAAAAAAAATTCAAATATACATTTATATTTCACCTTTCATTAACCCTCAGTTCTCTTGGGTATTGCCACATCAGTAGTACTGTGGCTTTCCAAACCCCTCATTTAAAATGTTATAGATATATAGTCTTTAGTGTTTTTTTCATAGGATAAAAAAAATAAAAAGTTGTATGTGTGTGTGGGAGGAGAGTGTCAAAAGTTCAAATATATAAAATATATATTTCATTTTATTTTCAGCACGCAAATAAAACTGCTTGTAATTCACACAAATATTATCACTAAAACCAGAATCTGTAGTTACTTGATAGAGATATTCAGAAAGCTACATGATTAATGAAACTTGCCATTTGCTAAAAATTAAAAGAAAAACATTTTATGGGGTTGTTCAAACAGCCTGCAGTACCAACAGAAGGTTAATGGAGGGAAAACACTGCAATCAGCAAATAAAATTTTGCTAAGAATTATTTTAATATAGAAAAAAAAAAGTTATTAAATACTATTTCTGTGTCATAATAGCTGAGACATTTTCATACACATGTTATACAGTAAATATAACAACAGTTATTGTACAAAAGTTGTATTTATTGAACTTTCACTAAACACTTGATGAACTGTAAGTTTATAAGAATGCCTTTTTCTTTATGAAACAGTTTAATGAAAAAAATACTTTGAGTAGATAATTGAATCAATGCAGAAAAAGAGGACAATACAAACCGCGTTTGCTTGAGCTTCCCTTTCAGCTTTATAAAATTCTGCATCTGCAATACTTTTCTCTTTATTCACATGAGTTTGTGCTGTTAAAAAAAAAAAAGAGAAGCCAAATGATTATCTTTTTAGTTATTGTTCAAATTAGCTTATGATTCACCCCAAATCTAAACGTCAGTCAAAAATTGTTAAAAGAAAAAAAAATTTTAAGTCATATTTATAAATATAAAATGATTATATTACAATTGTTTGTTCTTCCTTTAGTAAGTTAACACATGCTTTATGCACTGCCATTACCTCAGATAAATAACGGACCATTCAGTTTTGATTGTGAGAAAAGATGGAAAAGTTTGGTTTTAGTGAGAAAAATAAGGCATACATAAGAAAAAGAAGATAAAGAAGGTGATAACATTCATGTGTGTCTGCTTCAGTGAAATGGAAAACCATGTCATATTATTAATCTTTTCATTTGTACCCCCTTACTTCTTTAAATAATGACCTGCATTCATACTTATGATGGTTATTACAATATTTGATTAAATTTGTTAAGTTCAAATATTTAATGATGTAATAGGGGAATTTCCATAGTACTTTATCGTCATGAATTTGCAAGGAGCTCATCCAATCATTAGATTAAGAATTATAGTTAAATCAGAAAACTCAAATAGGAAAGCTGAAATTTTCCTGAGTACTGTTAGTTTTAATAATTTCACTTCATGACTCACCTTCAATTTCAGCAATTTTCTTCTCAGATTCTTTTTCCATTATTTTTTGCTCCCAGGTAATTTTAGCAACCATCTGAGATTTTTCAGCCTCTGAATTGGAGATGTAAACAGAATTTAGTCAAATTGATACAAAAAGAAAAAGAAAAAAAGTTTTCCTGGAGTCTACAACAGACACTAGTGAGTAATGTAGTCAGAAAACACCAAGATAACAGTAACAATAAAAAAAAAAAAAAAAAAAAAGAAAAAAGAAAGAAAGAATTTAGTGTTCATTTGTTAAGTTAAGAATTTTGAGCAAGCAAGATGAACGCTGAACATTACATTTTCGGAATTATTAGATATAATTTTTGGGAGTGCAATTTAGTAGCTTATTTTATATATAAATAGTTCAGAAAAAAATTTTAGGACAGTAAATGTGGGTTTAATATTAAGGTTTCCATAATCTGTGATATTGTGGACAGAACTGATAAGAACAAAATACATCAAAGCTTTCATTTACTATACTTACATATTTATATACTGTCAAAGCTTTGATAAGAGGAAGAAAAGCAACAACAACCCACACAGACAAAAAAAAAAAAAAAAAAAAAATTTCAAAAATAGTTATATTGTAGCACTGATTTGAATTAGTTTCATGCTTATTACTGCCCACAGTCTTTACCACTACTCTTCTGCTTTTGCAATTTTTAGTTTTTTTTTTCCCTCAATCTAAATGTTTTAGTAACTTCTGGAAGAATATTATGCATAGAAAAAGCAAAAAAAGAATTGTCAGTGGTCACAAATTAAATCAAGTCTGACTCACAGAATATAAAACAGGTTTTCATAATTTACATCCTTCTGTAAATCAATTCTATTTTATCCAGTGATAATTACACTTTCAACATTGAATAAACAATTTTGAGATGAAATTATGGTTTGCAAGAATAGTGCATTAAAGTACAAAAGAATTGGTTTAAAAAATTTTATATACTTGTTAAATATAAAAAGATTTTTAGCAATCTTCATGGCCTACAAACAACAAAAAAACTGTCAAAAGGACATTTAAAAAATTTAACAGATTTCTTCCAGGTTTTCAATTTATATATAAAAATAAAATACGTTTCAATATCAGTTGAAAGTTTATTATATAATACTGTTGAGACATTTCAGTGCCATTTATTAAAAAAAAAAAAAAAAAAAAAAAGTTATTTTGTGTATAAAGACAATGGATCTAAAGACTAATGCTTATTGAAGATATTGAGAAGTCATCAATATAAAAACATATTGAAACTACAGTGGGGCTTATTGAAGGTTTTATGAAGTCATTAATATAAAAAACATATTGGATCTAAAGATTATTGAAGGTCTAACGGAAAAATAAATATTGTGCAAAGTCACATTGAAAGGATCAATTTCTGTCAAATTTTCAACAAAATAAGTATTGATGACAATAATAGAAGTTAAGGTATGAAAAATATTTTATTTTGTTCAAATGGCATCTTTATTCTGATTGCCAACTAACATTCAATTAGTTGGAAATCAACTTCCAAACGTTCCATTTTATCTACATACCAACTTAGATTAAAATACGTTTTATAAAGATACAGTGAGTTTGGAAATTGCATATGCCAAAGTTGTTGTTGTTGCACAAAGAAAATAAGACATTTACCAATAATAGCTTTTTTCCTTTCTGTTTCCGCTTCCTTTTCGACAACTTTCTGGCGAGCTTGGAATATCAGCAACTTTGTCTTTTCTGCTTCCCTAGAAGTTGATAAATTAAAAGAAAAAAAAAAAAAAGATTAAAATTGCCAGGAATTAGTTTTTCCAATGTTTTTTCTTTTCAGATAATATTATCTAAATATGTTGTCAGTTAAATAATATATCTAGACAATTTAGTTCTAATTTTATGACAAAGAAAATTTCAGTAGTCTGGTAAAATAGAGGCTTCTCCTTTTATGTGCCATGTCCCTTCAAGACATGGATGATCACAGCTCGCCATAACTATCTGTCCCTTGTAGTACTAAGCAACATTTCATTCTTGATCATGCCTCAGCTGCTTGTCACCCATTCACACAGACTCATTAGGTAAGTTAATTGCTGCTCAGCCCTTCAATATGCCCTCTGTGTGTTAAGTTCTCCAGGTCCTCTTTCCTCATTTCAACTTTCTGATTTTAAGTGTCCTTATAGTCCCCATTTTCTTTAAAACTTCTTCAATGATCACATGTTCAATCTATACCGAGTGTAATAAATACACTTCAATATTTGAAGTATTTTACCTTAGTTAAAACAGGGTAGGTGAGGCTAGCTTGAATTGATGTCCATGAGAGATCATTTATAAAGATACTTGTCTATATACTCTATTTCCAGTGTTTTCCTAAGTAATCATAAATACAATCTCTCCTTAGTTTAATTAAAAGGTGTCTATTAACACTCACTCTCTAAAACAGGCCCAGATCAGTATATAGTAATAAACTAGAGTTGATGGATGGCGATTATATTGAAAAATGGAATTCATGAATCAAGTTCAAATCCCAGCTTAGGCCATTGCATTCACCCTTGTAAATGCATGAAGCTATCTTTTCCAGCTATGGGACAAATAACATAGTAGACTGAACTCGCTATCCTTAGGCAAGAGCCAGTCTAAGAGAAGACTAACTTTGAATTCAAAACTGGTGAATATAAGAGGGAAACCAGGACAAAAAAAAAAAAAAAAAAAAAAGGCAAAAGCAAAGAGAGAAAAAAAAAAAAAGGCAAAGAGAGAACGTAAAAAAAAAAAAAGGCAAAGAGAGAACGTAAAAAAAAAAAAGGCAAAAAAAAAAAAAAAAAAAAGGAGAGAACGTAAAAAAAAAAAAAAGGCAAAAGAGAGAAAAAAAAAAAAAAAAAGAAAGGCAAAAAGAAAAAAATGAAACTAAACTAAAAAAAAAAAAAAGAAAGAAAAAAGACAAATTTCTAGCATTTATTTCTGTTTCCTCCAGGCACAGCTAAGTTAGGAGTGGTTAAATCAATACATGTCCCTGTTTCTTTAGAATATCTAGGTGTGGCCCCTCACTATAGAGCTAATTTAACTGAACAATTACTACGTCTCCCAAATCCATAAATTGTGCCCTTGTGCCATACAAAATGTAAGTTTAATGAATAACCATAAGGCCTTGTGCATTGTTTGTCAATTTTATTTTGTCAAGGAGTGATACTAAAGCCAAATTCTTATTAAAATGTCGCACACTTCAGAATACGACTTACATGAAAGGACAGACAAGAATGGCAGAGGCTTCTTGTATTCCCTTCTCTCCATATGTATGTGCAACTTTAATGACATTGTATAAAGATGTTTTTACCAAATCAGTATACCACAGGATGCTGAGTATCACTAGCCTAGCACTTTCAGACTGCCAGAACATGTCAAGCATAAAAAAAAAAAAAAAAAAAAAAGAAGCCCAACCTCAAATATTCACAATACTGGAAATAATATTAAAATAAATAAAAATAAACCTTAAGACTTACATGGCTTCATAGTTCCGCCTGATACTTTCAGGAATTTTAGGTTTTGTTACCCTGACAGCTTGAACCATTAGTCCTTGAGCAAGACTGTTCAGATCTTCTTGTAAGGCTCTCTTCAAGTTCTCATCAATCTGGTCTATGTAAGAAATTGAAAATATTAATTACAAATTAGATATTCAAGAAGCACGTTTCTTCACAACGTAAATCATGTACTGTTGAACTTAAATTACAAACACATACTCAGATCAAACAGAATTCCAATTCATGTAATTACAGGGAAAAACCTATTCTGAAATTTGGTCTGTTCCAGCTAATTTAAAAAAAAGTGTTTAATACACAAACTGTAGAGCAATTCTATAAATTTTTCTTTAAAAAAAAAAAAAAAAAAAAGATTATATTCCTCAGAAATGAAGATTAATCTGTATTTTCTTTATAGTTATTATTTTATGATTTATGAGAGAAACATTTAAAATTGTTAACATTACTAAAAGGAATATCTGAAAT